CGGAGGTAGCACCTCCCCACCCCCCACCAGAAGGGGGATCTAGCTTAGGGAGCCCAGAAGCCAGCATTTTCACATTCCCAGGGGGCAGATAGGGGAAGCAGGCCCCCGCTGGCCCCTGGCCACAGTGGGGGCCTGGTCACCCTCCCAGGGCCGGCCGATGTTTATTTACAGTGACCCATGAAGGATGGTCCATTTCACCAGGCCGGGAAAACAACAGCTTGGGAGCCACAGCTCTGGGGCGCCCCGGCCGCTCGCTGCGGCCCTGGCCCAGCATACAGCCCCCTGCCGTCGCTCCAGGCCAGCAGCCCCGGGGCAGGAGCCTCCTCTGTCTGTCCCTCCACCAGCGGCTGGGACATAACTGGCTCCCTGGCTGGCCCCAAGTCTCTCCAGAGCTGGGTGTGCCCAGACCACCTCCTCCCTGCGTGCTCACCTGCCCCCTTGCAGACAAGCCCTCCTCTCTATGAGGCAGGTAGAGCCGCTCCTGACCCTTCTACCTCCCCTCAAGCCCTCCCTGTCGAGTCCCCACTGTGCTGAGCCCAGGTCAGGCCCAGGGTGCCCCCTCCTGCACCCACCTAGGGCCCTCCCAGACCGACCCTGGCAGCCTGAGCACCCTTAAGCCGGTTTGCTCCAGGCCACGTCTACAGTCTGGGCTCTTCCCCTGAGCCTGGGCCCCACCCTTTCCTTCCTCCTCCTCCCTCCCCCGCCTCCCCACAACCACCTCTCTGCAGTGACCTGAGCAGACTGGCTCCACTCTGCTGAAGGAATCGGGGACAACAGCCCGAGGCCGGGTGGGGTGGACTCCCACGAGGCCGGGCCCCTGGTGATGCTGCAGGACCCTCAGAAAGAGCCACAGGGGCTCAGGACCCAGAAGCATGAGGCTTGATGGAGGAGAGACAGGTACGGGGCCTAGAGCTGGACGGAGGCCAGGGTGAGCCGGACAACAGGCAGGGGGCTGGGAGGCCGGGCAGCAAAGCTCCGCTGGAGGCGATTCTCAAGAGACCTAAGTGTGCCCGAGGCGGCAGGGCCAGAGCAGGTGGCGCGTCCTCTCCCAGCCCAGCCATAGCCATCTGTGATCATGGGCAGGTGACACGATGCCCCCTGGACTCAGTTTCCCTACTGGGAAACAGGGCGGTTCAGCAGTGCTAGTTACAGACGGCTGTGACTCGGAAAGGAGGGCGCCTACTCGACTCCTCAACGGGGCGGCTGCGGGCTGTCTCTGAGGGTGGGGGTCCCCAGCACGCTCCCTGAAAGCAGAGGGCTGAGCCCCACAGCAGGGCCTCTGGCTCAGCCTGGCGGCCCCTGCAGCCCTGCATTCGAGGCTGACGGTGTCCGTGGCTTCAGGAAACACTCGGGGGGCTCCTTTCCAGGGGATCCAGGACACTGGGCGGGTGGGGAGCGGCTTGCACAGAGCAGGGTGGGGACGGGGCCACTGGGTGGCCAAGAGACCAGTCGCTCATCCTGTGCCCTCGCCAGCTGTTCAGTCGGGAGAGACCCTGCTGCCCGTGCCCAATGGCAGCGCGCCGAGCCGGGCGCTGGAAGGCTACTGGCCCGAGAGCCCGGAGCGGTCCCCGTGCGTGGCTGGCGTCGCCCCTGTCATCTACTACAGCATCCTGCTGGGCCTGGGGCTGCCCGGTGAGAGGGGACTGGGTGGGGGCGTGGGCGCCTGGAAACAGGGCCCTCCTTTGTGCTGACCCCTGGGGCCCTGGGTCATGGGCTCCAGGACTCCCCTTGCTTTTATGGGGGTGATCTGGGTCACGAGGGAGCAGAGCACAGGAGCGAGGCTGAGGGGCTGGGGTGCTTTATGGCTAAATCCAAGGTCTCACAAGAGCAGCCTGCCCGCTTCTCCCCCACAGTGGACAGTCCCCCAGGGTGAGTAGCTCACGGAGGACTGTGTCAGCAGAGCTGGGGGGCTGGTGAATGAGGGTGCAGAGGGAACACAGGAAAGGAGAGGGGGTCTCGCCCTGTCTCATGGAAGCCCCCAGAGAAAGACATGGAGTACCTGAGACTTACCTACAGGGGAATGCCGCGGGCACGGGTGGCTTGTGAGGACACCAGTCGCCCGGCAGAAGAGCTCACCTGAGTGCCAGGCACAGTCCCCGCCCCGGGCTGAAGTCAGTGACCGCGGAGAAGCTGGCCAGGACGGGCTAATCTTCCCGACCGAGTGGGCCTCGAGGAGGGTCTGGAGCGAGGAGGACGGGGCCGGGACGGCCCCCGGCACTCGCAGGGCGGGAGGAGGCTCCCTGGGCCAGGTCTGCGCTGGCCGCCCCTGACGTCCCTTCTCCCCTCGCTGTGGCCAGTCAACCTCCTGACCGCCGTGGCGCTGGGCCGCCTCGCCGCCAGGACCAGGAAGCCCTCCTACTACTACCTGCTGGCACTCACGGCCTCGGACATCGTCACGCAGGTGGTCATCGTGTTCGTGGGCTTCCTGCTGCAGGGGGCCGTGCTGGCCCGCCGCGTGCCCCGGGCCGTGGTGCGCTCGGCCAACATCCTGGAGTTCGCTGCCAACCACGCGTCCGTCTGGGTCGCCGTGCTGCTCACGGTCGACCGCTACCGCGCCCTGTGCCGGCCCCTGCGCCACCGGGCTGCCTCGTCGCCGGGCCGCACCCGCAGGGCCGTTGCCGCGGTCCTGGCCGCCGCCCTGCTGACCGGCACCCCCTTCTACTGGTGGCTGGACATGTGGCAGGATGCGGCGCCCCCCAGCACGCTGGACGAGGTCCTCAAGTGGGCCCACTGCCTCATCGTCTACTTCGTGCCTTGCGGCATCTTCCTGACCGCCAACTCGGCCATCGTCTGCCGGCTGCGGCGGCGGGGCCCGGGGGCGCTGCGGCGGCAGGTGGGCAGGAGCACGGCCATCCTCCTGGGCGTCACCACGCTCTTCGCCCTCCTCTGGGCGCCCCGGGTTTTTGTCATGCTCTACCACCTGTACGTGGCGCCTGTCCACCGGGACTGGAGGGTCCACCTGGCCTTGGACGTGGCCAACATGGCGGCCATGCTCAATACCACAGTCAACTTTGGCCTCTACTGTCTGGTCAGCAAGACTTTCCGGGCCACTGTCAGAGACATTGTCCTCGAGGCCCGCCTGCCCTGCGCCCTGGGGTCACGGCCTGAGGAGCCGGCCCTGAAGCCTCCAGGACCCCCCACGGGGGCAGAGTCGTATGGGAGGGGCCGGCCAGGGACCCGGGAGTGGCTCCAGGCCACACCGGCCAGGGAATTTTGTGGTTGTGCCTGCTGAACTATCAACACCCTGCTTTGCAGTCTGGTGAGCGGGGAGAGGCCCCTTCCTGAGGGGGGCCCTCCATTTAGCCAGCTCCCCCATTAGCGTCACCAGCCGTCCCCATCCCTGGGGCCAGGGCCTGCGTGGCCAGCTAACCGTGTCAGTGGCTAAGGGCATCCCTCACTGCGAGTCTGCAATATGTTTCTTGTGAAGGCCAAGTCAACATGGGCATGTGGGTGGGGTGTGGGGTCAGAATGGCTTTATTTGAATTGATTCCAGCCTCCTCCTTTCTGAGGTTCACCTCTCACCCCACGTGAGTTAATCATTTCTCCGCTTCTAGAGTAGAAAGGACCCCAGGATGGGAGATGAGGCCAGCTGGCTGAGCCACAGGAGGAGGGCCGGGGTGGGGCTTTAAAGTGGTCTGGATGCCCTGGCCCTGGACATCTGCTTGGGTTTCCAGTGTCCTGGTTAGAGGCCCTGACCTGGAACCAGGGCTCGCTCAGGGCCTAGAAGCCCCAGGGGCTACAGTTCCCAGGTTGCTGCTGAAGAGACAGGAAATGGCCTCTCAGCTCCCTAGCGAGGGGAGGGGGGCAGGGCGGAGGGGGGGCCCAGCCGCACCCTCCAGGCCCTGGAGCCAGGCCTGCTGCCTCACCCAGATGAAGGACCCCACTCACGCCCCGCCCAGCGCTCAGGGCCCTGCTCCATCAGGCCAGGCGCCAGCCCCCAGCCCTTAGCAGCTGGGACGGTTCAGCAGATGGGCGCCCGCCTGCTCCGGGCTGGGTAAACACATTAGCGGGCAGAGCTGGGCTGCTCGCTGCTTCCTGGTCAGGCCGAGCTGGCCTTTCCCCCGAGGGGAGGCCCGCCCGCCCCACCGGCCCTTAACGGTGACAGAAGGGCCAGAGGAGTGCCAGGACACCTGGGGGCAGAATCAATGCTGGCCGGGGCCCCCCTCTTCTTTCCTGCTTCTCCCCAGATCGGGGTGCCCAGGCAGAGACTTTCAGCACAGGAAAAGGCAGGTCTCCAGCCCTTTATCCACAGCGCTAAACACCAAAAAGCTCCGAAAACATCGTGCTGACGAAGCCTGACTGGAACTGGTGGGAGATGGTTCGGCTGCCGAGCCCTGAGCCCGGCCTTTAGGCCAGGGCTTGTCCCAAGCGCAGCCCGTCACTGTCCCCGTCACCGTCCCCGGACAGAACAGCCCTGAATTTGGAGGCGTGCCTGGTCTCAAGCGTGTCAGAGGAAGGAGCTAGGCCCTGCATGTTCTCCCGTTTTTCTCAGCTGACCCCGAGCGTTTGGGGGGTGGGGGGCTCCCCAGTGTGCTCACAGATGCTCCCGTGGCCGAAGCCAATGCGTCGGGGTTTCGGTCCTTGCTCGTAGGAGACCTACAAGTGCAGGTGTGGGGGACAGGAGAAGGGGGTGCGGGAGGGGGAGGGGGAGCTGGCGGGGGGGGGGGGCTCCACGGAAGGACAGCAGAAGTGCCTGTTTAGGGGTGACACCCTCTTGCCACTAAGAAACCAGAGGAGACCCTGCAGGAGAGGCTCCCAGCCTCAGGAGAGCGTGATCCTGGGAGGCGACTGACGACTGGACTGTCGGGGGCGCCCTCAGGAGACAGCTTCGCACCTACGAAGCCAGGAACTTCCAGAACAGGTGGGAGGCGCTGTGGTGGCAGGTGGAGTTTTGTGTGTGTGTGTGGGGGGGGAACTTCCAGCCTCCAGCACTCAGGTGTTGACGCGACCTCACCCGTCCGCAGGCCAGGCTGGGACGACATACCTGCTTGCGCATCCCCAAGCACGGTAGCCAGTTCCCAGGCCAAGGAGATGGAGGTTAAGTGACCGGCCAGTGAGCCCCCGCTGGTCAGGAGCAGCTCGGACTCAGAGCCAAGCCTGCCGGCTCGGGGCCATCGCCCAGCTTCCCCCCATCCCCCCTTAACCTCACAGGCCTCCGGGGCGTCCTGGGGCTCTCGGGTACACCAGCCGGAGGAAGGCGGCTTGGGGACGCCTCGCATCATTAGGACTTTTTGTCCCAGGCTTGCTGGATTTGGGACCCAACATCGCATTTCCCTGCTGCGTTGGGTCACGGCTCCTCTCCACATGGTGTGAGCTTCGCTGCTTTGAGAAGCCTGAAATACAAATGACAGCGTTATTAAAACTGCTCTTGCTTCTTTTACGCGTAGGGGACCTGGAAATGAAGTCGCAGTGGACGTTAAGGAAGTATCCGCTCAGCGGAAGCGACCCGGACTCAGAGCTCCCGTAATTACGTGGGTGGGAGCAGTGAGTCGCTGATGTGGCTGCAGAGGAAGGCAGGTGCTGGGTCCTGACGCCTTCCCTGAGCGCTGAAGAAGGCGCTGGGTTCTCTGAATAACCAGATGCCCCTGGTTGGCACCTTCCTCTGCCTCCGAGGTGTGGCCCGCCCAGGTGGTTCCCCTTCACCTGCCGACCCCGCAGGGGTCCTATTCTGACTTCCTCTATGCAGATGACTTTGCCTGCTAGACAAGGGGGGCGGTGGAGGCGAGGATGGGGAGTTTGGGTCAGGGAGGGTGTCCACAGTAATTCCACAATCTTTGCCATTTGCTGTCGACAGCTCTAGAGACAGGACTGTGGCTGGTGCAGGGCCATCCCTCCTTCTCCAAGCTCTGCTGAAACACCCTGGCCTGCAGAAATCCTTTTTGAAACTCGAAGTGCTTTTTCTTATGTGGTTCCCATGACATTTTGTCCAGCTGGCCTCATTTCCCTCATCCATCAGTGCTTAAGGGCGCTGCTTTTCAAGCACCTGGGTCTGCACACCATCTTTGGAAGTCGGCTGACAAACTGTATTCCGGTTTCTGCAGCCGCAAACATTCGTGTTTTCAGGCTGCTATAACAAAATGCCTCAGGCCCAGCAAAACTTATTTCCTTGCAGTTCTAGGGGCCAGAAGTCCAAGATCAAGCTGTCGGCAGGCTGGTTCTCCAGAGGCCTCTGTGGGTCTCCAGACGGCCGCTCCTCCAGCCGCCAGTGTCCCTGGCGTCTCGTGCCCTGAGCGCCTTATGAGGACCCCGGCTCCTGCCTACCCTCATGGCCCCATTTTGACTTAACTACCGCTCTAAATTCCTATCCTGGGGCCCAGAGGTTTGGGGGGGTGGGTTTACAGTTCAGCCCTTAACACTATGGTTATTTTCAAGGGAAGCATTAGTTTGGCTGCCAAGCCCATTTTTCTTTAGTTATTACAAATTTCTCTTGCCCCCCCCCAGTTCTCCCCCACCCCATCACCCCGTGAAGCACCACCATATTCCCTTGGGCCCACCCCCAACCCCTGCCACCCCCGTTTCGCTCCCTCCTTTGCTGCAGGCTTCTGTTTTGAGGCTGGTTTGCTGGTTTTGACTTTTCCCTGACTTTTGACTGTGACTTTTCTCTTGCTTTGTCCGTCCAATGTTTGATGGAAGTAACTATTCTAGCGTTACAGGAGATGTCCTCCACCTCACTGGCCCTGCCGGTCAGCCAAGCAGATTCCAGATCCCTCTGAAGGGGAAGGACGTCCTAAGCGAACTCTGCAGTCTTGCGGACCCCACTCCTACTCCAGCTTTCTGGACTCTGCCCCCTGCTCCAGTGATTGGGAACTACAACTCCCAGCAGCCCCAGGGAGAGAACAGCGAGGACCCCAGGGCGGAGCTAGCAAGCATTCTGGGACACTGGGGGATAAATAGGGTGCCATTGTGTCCACTGGGCTCTCTCGCTCGGGAAAGGGCTCTCGGACCTCGTGACTGACGGGGGCTAGCAGTCTTGTTACCAGAGCTCCAAGTCAGCCTATAGGGTAAGATGATCAAGTTACTTGACTATCCCGCTCTCTTTCCCTGGGTTGTTCTATTCCTTTCCCCTTTTGTAGATAAACCCATTATTGACCCTTTTGTGTGCACCTGTAGTGCAACTGAATTTTAAGTGCAGGGGTGAGGCCCCACAGACAGACGGCCAGTCCACACTGGGGTGCCCTGTAACACCTCTAGATCTTGGCCAGACCCAGCTCCACGGTGCACATGGAGGATCTTGGTGCGTCTGACTAAACCCCGAAGAGGGCTGAGCACAGCTGTCCTTCTCGGGTCTGCTCCCCGGGCCTGCTGTAGGCCCCTGAAACTGCACAGCAGGGGGACGACTAGGTCAGGCAGCTTGCTGTTCCCCTGGTGCTGTCGGCTGCTGGCCCCTGGCTCTGCTGTCCGAGCTTGTCCCTGGCAGAAGGAGGCGTCTGGGCTCCTTTCGTGATTCTGCTTCCAAGGGCAGCCCCCCTCTGCGCTGGGCCACACGTCGGCCGGACCCCCGTCACCTGCCAGCATCGCCGGCTGCACCTTCACACCTGCCGTCTGTGCACTCTCACCTCTGTCCTGTCTCTCCTCTGGGGCTGCTCGGCCATCACCAACCGCCCCCCACACCCGGCCCTTCCATCCCAGCTCCCCAGCTTTCCCCTGGAGGGCACTCACGGCTCTTCCCCCTCCCCTTTTTCCTAAAAGAGAGAGAGACCAGCTGTCTGCCCCTCCCCGGGTAGAGGTGGGAGAAGGTGGGGTGGGAGGCACATGGTGGGGACAGGGAACAAGCCTCTGGGGATCTGTGTGCAGCCAAGGAGGGAGAGGGCCCCAGAGAGCAAGGCCACACTTCCCAACTGTTAACCCAGACACGGGCCAGGGTCCACAGGCGTCTGGAAAGCTTGGCCCACCCAGCCTGCCCGTAGTCACTGCCCAAGCCGGCAAGGGCCTGCGGCCGCACTGACAGCAGGGGGCGCTGCCGGACGGCCGCTGGACGGGGAGCCTGCGGCC